GAAAAGTCTACATCCATTTGTTAATTTCTTTGATACACTATATGGACAAAAGTATTGGAACACTTCTTAAACATTTAATTCAGATATTTCATTCAGACCCATTTCCACGGGTGTGTGAAATCAAGCACGTAGTCATGCAGTCAGATTTGCAAATATTTGTGAAGGAATGGGTCATTCTGAAGAGCTCAGTGAATTCAATTTGTAGGATGCCATCTTGGCAATAAGTCAGTTTGTGAAATTTCTTCCCTGCTAGATATTCCATGATCAACTGTAAGTTGTATTATTGCAAAGTGGAAACATTTAGGAACAACAGAAACTCAGCCATGAAGTGGCCGACCATGGAAAGTAACAGAGTGGGGTCACAGAGTGCTGAGGCGTATAGTGTGTAAAAGTCACCAATGCTCTGTTGACTCACTAACTGCAGAGTTCCAAACTTCCTCTGGCATGAACCCAAGCACAAAAACTGTGCGCGGGAGCTTCATGGAATGGGCTTCCATGGCCGAGCAGCTGCATGCAAACCTCATATCACCAAGCGCAGTGCCAAGTGTTGGATGGATTGGTGTAAAGCACATTGCCTCTGGACTCTGAAGTAATGGAAAAGTGTTCTGTGGAGTGACAAATCATGCTTCTTTGTCTGGCAGTTTGATAGACAAGTCTGGCTTTGGTAGATGATAGGAGAATGTCACTTGCCTGGCTACATTGTGCCAACTGTAAAGTTTGGTGGAGGAGGGATAATGTTATGGGATTGTTTTTCAGGGGTTGGGCTAGGTCCCTTAGTTTTAGTGAAGGAAATTTTTAATGCTTCAGTAAACCAAGACATTTTTGACAATTCAGTGCTTCCAACTTTGTGGGAACAGTTTGGGGGAAGGACCTTTTCTGTTCCAGCATGACTGTGCCCCAGTGCACAAAATAAGTTCCATAAAGACACGGTTGGGTGAGTCAGGTGTGGAAGAACCTGACTGGCACAGAGCTCTGACCTCAGCCCCATTGAACACCTTTTGGATGAACTAGAACGGAGATTGCGAGTCAGGCCTTCAGGTCCAACATCAGTGCCTGACCTCAGAAATGCTCTTCTGGGTGAATGGACAAAAATTCCCACAGACACGCTTTGTGTAAAGCCTTCCCAGAAGAGTGGCAGCTGTTATACGTGTCCCAATACTTTTGTCCATGTAGTGTGTATGTCTATAGTCTCAGGTGCAGTATCTGCATATCAGGATCTTACTGTTTTGTTTTTTAATAGGTGTGAGGCTACACCATACTGCCCCCAAAAAACTTGCAGATGTTACTACTCTGCAAATCTGTTCTACTATGATTGATATTTTAGTACCTAAGCCCAATACAATGCAGAATCACATTTACATTTGTGCGATTTTCAGTCAGAGGGAAAAGCATTATTCAAACCACAGTGTGAAACAGTCTTAGTGAGAAACACTACTTGCACACAAAATTATCCATGTGAATGGTAGTGATGTTCGATTCATCAAGGAATTGTTCTTTTGAACCTGTTCTTTTCAGTGAATCGGTGAAATTGGTTTTCAAATTTAACTTTTTGTACATCCACGGATTACACAGATCAAAGTCTTAAATTGTAAAAATCTAAAAATATTACACTAATTCCCTAATAGTACTAATATAATACTATCTTATAAAAACACACCATTTCACCAGTTGACCAGTCAATTAAATGTAATTGTCAACATGAATAATATCATAGATGGAGTTTCAAACTGGGTTACATATAGCAGCTGTTGGGGGCCTGCAGTGATTGCTGTGATACATGTAATCTAAAAAGACCGAAGCTGGGTGACCTAAACCATGTTGCCTCTCTGCAGTGCATCCCGTCCCTGCAGGATTTGGCTAAGACCAGCAGATGTGGCTGTTCTCCATCTGAAATCCTGAGAATGGAGAGGATCATACTGGATAAACTCAACTGGGATCTGCACACAGCAACAGCGCTGGATTTCCTGCACATAGTGAGCCATAGCCTCCCTTTCGTTTACACGTTTTGATTACATTTCAGTGGAAGTTCAGTTTTTTTTTTGTTTGTTTTAGATCTTCATTTTCTAAATGTTTCCTACTGTAAATTCTATGTGCTAGATGGTGTGAGCTACTCATCTAGTGCCTTGCATGCATTTATATAACAACATTTGTTGTTTATTGCAAATTGATAACATAGGAATATGCATATAATGTGCATTATATTAAACATATTTTTAATCAGTATTTTGTTCTTGTTACACTTTGAATAGGATTTCAGGGCACACTAAATCATATGTGTAGTTTTGACGAATGTGCCCTGACACGCTCCGGGTTGTGGGCCTTTTCCTACCCCTGCGTGTGGGGAGTATGTTCCTCCTGTATTTGCTTGGGTTCTTTATGGTGCTGCAGTTCCACCATACAGTCTGAAAGTATGGCTTAGATGAACTGGTGTCCCTAGGTAGTGTGCCTTGCGACTGACTGGCCCCCTGCTACTTGTGTGGTGTTAGGATAGGTTTCAGACTTCAGTGGTGAAGGAAAACCCGAAGTAGCTTTATAGTATAAAAGGTCAATGTTAGATAAGTGATATATTTTGTGGAATTTAAGAATTTTGTTAATATGCTCAGTATTTTACCTCAGAGAGACTGATTCCATGAATGTTCATTATAGTTAATGTAGGTAACATTTTGGACACTAGTTAAAATATTTATGCTATGGACAGGCACTGGCAGTTCAAGATGGCAATGATTTCACATGCTTTTTTTTCTATTTTAAACATTATACATTAAGAGATTCGGCAGAAACAAACATATACACAGTCACGATGTTTCAAACATTCATAAAGCTTCATCGGAAGCAGAATTTAAGTTCCGTTTTGTGTAACCGTGAAATAAAAGCTACATGCATTTTCATACAATGCTGTGATTTAGGGAAGTCACTGTTTACTCTCATCGTACCTTCCATGACAGTTCTATGCGATGATGCTGTCGTGCGAGTGCCGTCTCCCTCTGGGTCTGCTGGGCATGAATGCTCCCCAGCACGTCTCGCTGCTCACTCAGCAGCTGCACCACTGCCTCGCAGACCACAGGGTGCTGCAGATGAAAGGCTCCATGTTAGCTGTTGCCATCATCAGCCTGGAGGTCGAGAAGTGCTGTCCTGATTGGCTGGCTCTCACTATCGACCTGCTCAAAAAGGCACAGGTATGTCCTGAGAGCAGTAGCATCTCTGTCCTTACAAAACATATTCATCTAACACATTCGCCTGACAATGGATTTCTGCTTAAGCCATGTTGTGTGATACTGCTGACACTCAGGCAATTATTGTACTTACAGAAAATTGTACTAATTATCAGCTAACTAAAATGTTATACTTTTGTAGTTGTGCTGTTTACATGTTTTGCATATGGCAGCTTTTCACGCTTAATATGACTATTACTCTTTAGTAAAAATTAGTATTAGCTTTGTTGTTAAATTGTTTAACATTTATACATATTTAAGTACGTGGGGTGGTGACACTGAACCAGTAAATTCAGATTATATTATATTGGCTATGAGGTATTAGTGCTTTTATAGTCAAAAATCAAAAATAAATTGGAAGGTATGAGTATAGTTTCTGGGCAAATTTGGAGAAAAACTATATATTCTTGGTAGTATTATGCAGAAATTCTGGGTGCTAATTAACTGAATGTCTGCTGTGCTTCTCAGATCGACAGCTCCCAGATAATCCAGTGTCGAGAGCTGGTTGCACGTTCGCTGCCTCCACACCAAGCCTCCTTGCCTCCCAACATTCTATACATATACCAGCCCCTGCAGCAAAGCCAAGCGTCTTGCAGTTGGGGACCCCCACTGTCCCAGCACCACCTTCCTGGCTCACCCCCCTTGTCATCTCGAAGGGGCAAATGGGTCCACCTTTGCCCCGGCCTTGCTCGGCCCTGCGTCCCAGGCCGTCTTCGTAACCGGCCTCTCCATTTGTCCCGCAAGCACTCTGCCAAGCGCAAGGTGGAGGAGATGGAAGTGGACGAGTTTTACGACGGAATCCGATGCCTCTACAGTGAAGACGGCAACCAGGAGGGGGCAGCGGGGGAGGGGCAGGGCCTTGCCTGCAGCTCCTCGCTGGGGTGGCAGGACGGCAGCCTCTCACCCTGCCCCCCACTGCAACCCGCCATCAGTGTCATCTAAAAGAGAAAGAAAACAGGCCTTCTCTTAATAAATAACGTGCAGAGCAGAAGACAAGTCCACAGTCATAGGCGTTATCTCTCCAGGCTAGACTGAGCCAAAAATACAAAAAAATGCTTCTTATTGATATTTAACTTATTTGTTAAGCACCAATTAAAAAAAAAAAAAAAAAAAAAACTAAGAAAAAAACCCATATATACCTTTCTTTCTTTTTAAGATAGCGTTGATTTCCACGATTCCTGAAATGCCTTTAAAATTTCATGTCTCCTGTGTTACGGCTTTTCCCACTGCATATTGTGCATATTGTATTGTGTTGTTTCAAGCTATTCATGCGACATGCTTGAAAGAATGTGGTACATTGTGTTGTCAATGTGAGCAGTTTGCTGGTCCCCACTTAAATGAATAGTCTGACTTTGTTTCGTCTTCCACCGCTCGTTGAGCAAGTGATCCTTAGTATGTTTTAGGAGTTCGCTGAAAGTGTAGCTAAGTGTAGCTACTAGCTAAGGATGCAGCATGTTCTTATCACTGTTAAAGAAGAGGATCCATGATAGATGAAATAAAAGCAATGCGATATGTTGCACTGACCGGAATCCACAGCATTTTCCATTGCGATTTATATGCTAGCTCACTGTCTAATAAAATGATCTTTCTATGCCAGGTCATGATAATTACCTTTGTACTGTGGAAATCTCTGGGGCACCAATAAAGAAACAAACCCAAATATTATCCTGGTCTTGTGCTTTAAATTTTAAAGGAATGGTAATACTGTAACTAGAATGCTATATCTAGAGGAATGATTCTAATTTTCGCGGTCTTGAACTTGCAGATTTTTTTTTATCTATCTAGTAGATTACGTGATGTCATTTAATGTTATTCTTGTCTACGTCTTAGATGTATAGCAGCGTTTCCTGTGAAAATTTGAAAAAAAAGATGAATGGTTAATCAATAATAGTAGTCTGTCTAAACTAAAGTATAAAAGAGTGTTAGAAAAAAAATCAAGTTTAGCTCTAGATCACGGGTAGCTATAGTTATGGAAAAAAGCTGAATTATGTAACCCATAATTCATAGCAAGGCAAGGCAAACAGGTCATTCAAAGTGCTTAAAATAAAAGCAAGTAACAGGAAAAATTAAATGGAAAATTAAAAACTAAAAAAAGTAAAAGACAAAAACTAAATAAAAAGCATAAATATTGATTAGCAGTCCTGTTTTACCTGGAAGTGAAGAAATTGATTTCCTGCTCTCTAATTAAAAGCAAAATCATTCATTATATATAATAATTAAAATTGATGCCGCATAAATTCCTACAAATAATTGAAAATGTTTATAGTAAATATCATATGACGGTGGGTGACTCAGGTGCGCTAAGCGGATGCAGGTGGAGCAGGCAGCACGGCAGGGGAGGGGTTACATGCACTAACTAACTTGCAATGTTTCTAACTTTGGGCGCAACTTCGTTCCTGGTTCCGCCAGTCGACATGGCCTCTGAATTAAGTCAAGACGCCGTGCTACAATTTATTCTTAGCAAAAATGGAAGAGTCAAAAACGCCGACCTTCTGACGCACTTCAGAACTTTCCTTAGAGAGGACGACAACAAGGCGCAGAACAGAGAATTCTTTAAAAAATTTGTCAACTCTGTGGCGGTGGTTAAACAAGAGGAAGGTGTGTCATTCGTTGTGTTAAAGAAGAGGTACACGGTGCATGTCGGAGACGCCGTCCCCACTCCGAAAGCGTACTGGGAAAGGGATAAAAAATCTAAACAAACAGGATTTTCCCCGCAAGAGGAAAACGGAAACCTGGAGAAAGGTCAGGCTTTACCTCAAACTAAGTTTAAATTAAATACTCAACCAGTGTCACACACAGGGTTTAATGCGCTTCGAAGCACTAATAATATTTTGCCGTCTGCTGGGATTATTACCAATGTAGACAATGCTCGCAAAGACAAACGTGACACAAATCCTCCGTTTTCTACTTTACATACGTCAATCACCAAGACCGATAGAGTTACCGAGAACCGCAGCTGTACTTTGAAATTGCCTGAAGCTAAAGTGTTATATGGGGTTGAGAAACCACAAGATAAAGAGTGCGATAAATCTTTTGTTGCCCCAACAAATACTGGACAAAAACATGCAAGCATCGCTAAACCGAGACCGTCCGAACCTTTGCACAACCAGAAAGCGACATTTTCCCAGAATTATCCATACAGCAGCAGTAATGTCTCTCTGGACGAACCTGCAAAACCAAGTGTCGTGGATGAAGTCGAAAAAGAAATCAAACGTAAAAACTTAGAATTTTCAAGCTCATTATGCCCTTTAACTGTAAAAACCAGAAATATTTCGCAATCGTCTTCTTGTATTTTGAATTGTCACAAAGATTCGGATGACACAGGAGCGACCCCCAGCCATGGAAGCCAACCAGCACCTGTAGAGATCCTTGAAAGTACCAGATCCCATCAGCAGGAAGACAGTGTAGCAGCTACAATGAACCCCCATCTTTCCTACCACAGCTTACCACCAGAGAGCCCTGGGTCCTCAGTGGACAGCTATTCAGAAATGTATCGGACTGGACTTTCTGCCAGTCACGGAGATCTTTTGTTACCGTCTTACGAGAACTCTGAGTGGCCTGAGAGGTTCCACAAAGACCAGGATTGGGCCAGTGATGAAAGCCTCAATTTCAAGGGACTCTCAAGTGGGAAACAGAAAGTATATGAGATGCTTCATCGTGCCCTGGAGCCCAAGATGGCTTTGCTGCATCGCGCAGAGAGAAAAGTGACCCCCTATCATCATTCTGCTGGTTACCTTAACGATGTGCCCAGGGCAGATCAGTCTGGATCAGAGTCTGGGCTCCCCGTTCCACTGCATACCAAGAACCGGAAGTCCAGTGCATTCCAAAGCAGGATGTGTCGTAGCTTGGGAGCTGACCTGGACCAGCCATTCCATGATGACGTAGTGTCCGCAAGGAAGAACAGGCTCTACTTGCTCTCCTCATCTTTAAGCATGAGCTATCTAAGTCGACCCTCCCATTTAAATAGATCTGGGGATGTTGCTTGTCCTGATCACAAGGTCTCCACAAGTGAGAGTACTTACTTCCATAGGAACACCTTAGTGCCGTTAGAATCAAAAGAACATGACTGGTTGGTCAAGGCAGCTTCTGGGTGCTGGACTGAAATATACACTCTCTTTCGAGAGGATCCGAGTCTCTTAAATAAGAGGGATTTCATTTCAGGATACACAGTGCTACACTGGATTGCGAAACATGGAGATCATCGTGTTCTTAATACTCTGTGGTATGGAGTTAGTAAAGCTGGACTGAACTTTGATATTGACAGTAAAACAACCTGCGGATACACCCCGTTACATCTGGCAGTCATCCATGGACACCGGAAGCTGATCCGTGTTCTAGTACTTAAGTTCAAAGCCAAAGTATCATTGAGGGATACTAGTGGCAAGAAAGCGTGGCAATACCTTGGCCTCAATGGCTCCAGGGATCTCCTTGAGTTGCTCGGAGCTCCAAAGTTGAAGACTGCACATGGTAAGATATTTGGGTACTCTTCAGAGAAGCTGCTGATACAGCCAAACAGCACGAGTCCCTCTGTGAAGAGGCAGACCTCCATAGCTGCAATCCTCAAGCATAAATCGCTACTGAAAATCCACGCTCATTCAGAGTCTTCTGTATAAACACAGCCGTTAATGTTTTTTTTTTTTTTTCCCCCCCCCCCCTCTTTTTAGCATATTTCTGTTGGGTTCTGATGACATCTGTTCTGATGTCATTGCTGAAAATTAACATTGTACTAGTATTATACAATTATTACACAATGCATACCAGTTATTAATTCTGTGATGTTTAACACCTTTGTGACTTTGCTGTGTAATAATGCATCTGCTGCATCTTTTGTTTACAATTATAGGTTTTTCCCAAAAAATATATATATACTTTATTCATACCCAAATCTTAAGTCTTTACCAATTAATATGCAGCTTATCGGCTCATCTACTATAATGGATATGACATTTAATATTTAGTGGTAGAAATTTTATCCATCTTTGCTTCAGTATAAAGCTTCCACTGTATTTTATGTTTGCCTGAGCTGCTCTAAACATTGTTGTAGTGCTTTACTGCATAACACCCTACATAAGTGGTACGTCATTTTTTTTTCTGAAGAGGAACCCATAATTTTCTTTTAGTCCAGTCAATGTTTCACATAGTTTTTTTTATAATATGTATGAACCTAGCAGCTAATGTGAAGGGTTTTGCAACATTAGAATTTTATATGGAAAACCCTTGGTGGCTGGATGCTAATTGCTCAGCATACAAACAGTAATTATCTTTGCTGGTGTTCCAGGCTTGCAGTGACTGACAGGGACTCAGTGATTCATATTCGAAAAATGTGACCTGTATTCTGTTACTGCTGCAGGATGCACCCTACTAAGGAAGTTTCAATGGCCACAAAGATAAAATTCCGTATAATCAAAAACTAGCTATGTTGCCTTACCACATAAACGTGTGTTTCCATGCAGATCATTTTGCATGTGCCAGAGCTATTTTTGTTGACTTTTACTTTTGAACCTTAATATGTGGTGTCTTGCATATTTCATATATGTATTTTATTTTTAAAGGTTTCGTATAAATAAATCCATATAATGTAAATGTGTACAACCGATGTTGAAATTTTATTCTGCTTTTTATCGTCATTAACTACAATCCATATTATGCGCTTTTCCCATACTTTTTTTAAAATCAAAAATAATGCAATTAAAATTTCTATACAGGCAAGTTATTTCTGCAAAAGATTTTATGGTTGTCATAATATTGATCATACCTCCCAAACTCATACTCTCTCATTTTTTCTCTCTCTGTGTGGACATACAATTTAACTGGGAAATAGGAAATACGAGAATATCATATTTTATTAAATGTGTTGCATTTGGCGCTATTGAGTGTGCCTACACCTGAATAGCAAGCCCTTGTATTCCAAATGTCTTCATTATTGTGAAGTATTTAATTCCTGGAAATATTCTTTCTTCATTGGTGTGTTTCAGAGGTTTGGACTTATCCATAGTATTTAAAAGCATCCCCCTGTATTCAAACGCTACGCTTACCCCAGGAACACAAGGACACCAACAGGATGAACGTGTCATTTTTTCCAAGTGTCATACACCACTGAGCCAAGTTGACAATTAGTTAAAGTGCAAGGCGGTTTGTTCAGTTTTTTTACTTGCTATGATATGTGTGTCGTTGTATTAGGCGTTCAGAATGCAAACTCCCTTGGGCAGTTTAACGGAAAAACATTGTCTTGGTTTTGATGCGTACTGTGAGGAGAATGATGTAAGAGAGTGATGTAAAAAAACAAAAGTAGGACATTCACCTGAATACTCAGTCTCAAGAGAAAATCATTTCCTGTGTTTAAGTTGGATTGTTCTGCACATGTACTTATTTGTAGTAAAAAGAATACTAAAACATTTTGTAGAAAGAAAAGCCTACCTTTCAGTGGTAAATTTAATATAAATGATGTATATCAAACTTTAGTATATTTGTATTTACAGAAAATGAGGGTTTTGCTTTTTATATCATCATTGGCTATACTTGGCAAAATGCATGTGGTCCCCTTTGTTCACATATAATTAAATTCATTTTAAATGCTTCAAAGGGTAAGTTAGGAAGACCAAATGAGAAATAACTCCATATCCTCTCCACATCTTAGAGCAAAATGAATAACCGAACCTTAAATATCAAAATTGACATCTGCACAGTTTTAGGTCATACAAAATGCTACTGGAGTTAACCGCTATTTGTAATGTTTAGTCACACATTATTTACAAGTCCTTAAGTGTATGATGGATATAATCGCAGTTGTCAAACGTGAACTTCTTGTTTTGCTTTTAAAGCTTAAGTGGTCAAAGACATCTTAGCGGTAAACAATGTTCCATAACTGTTTATCATAAATATGTAGAGAATGTAGCATACATGTGTGTCATAATGAAACAAAGATAAAATGTAAAATGAGATATCAAACATGATTTTTCAAATTTATCAATCTGATTAACAGGGGTTCTTTTGCCATAAGTTCATAATTTTGTTGTATATCATAAATCCTGACAAGTAATTCCAGATAAATTCCTGCATAGCTTTTAATGGTATTAACTTTTTTACAGTAGATAATCAAGTAACCCCTACATCTGCAAAAATAAACTTTTTTTATTGAGCATAAGCTTTAACTGAGCAGTGCATTCAAGCATAAACAAATATTCAAGATGATAAACAACTAAAGCTAGAACTGGTACACAAACAGGCTTTGACACATGTAGTGGCTTGTTCAATAATTTCTAAATATGTTTTCAATGGAAAAATTAGGTGACAGGTGGAAAAGTTCTGTTTTTTCAGGTTAACGTTAAAAGCAGTTCAGCAGTGGTGACGGCAGGGGGTGTAATGGTGAGGCACAGCCAGTAGGGGTCAGAGTGAGGTGACTGTAGGGGTACGTGCAGAAGAAGACACAGCGGCAGAGGTGACCCCCCCTTCCTGGATGGGGACGTGACCCTCAGACAGTAGTCTCTCTGTCACGCTCTGCAGCTGCTCTTCCGCCTCTCTGATAAGGTCATCCAGGCACCTCTGCCTTATCAGCAGCGCCGGCTTCATCTGAACGAAACGCTGGTAGTCACATAGCTGCTGTCTGCCGAAGTGACCGGCCAGGATCTCGAACACCACGCGCTCCCGCCGGTCCAGGTTCTCCTTGAGCTCACGGGCGTCCTGGTGCTGAGCCCGCAGCTGGCGCTGTTTCAGCTGAAGGCTCTCCTGGAAAAGTGACACATGGGAGACACGTCTCAGAATAAAAGAAGTCCCCACTCTCAGCACAATGCAAAAAACATGACGCTGCGTAAATAAGTATGGTGTCCGACATCTAAACCGAACGCTGCACCTTGTTAAAGTAATTATTGTGCTGCAATGCTGAATCGCTGATGAGAGTTGATGTTAACGAAAACGCACAGTTACACTGAGCCACTCTCAGCCCTTCAAACTGATGAAAAATTAACTTTACTAGAGCCCTCTGAAGTCTCGGGGTCCATTTTCGAAAAAACCCCTAATATGAAGCACAAAGATGGACATAATATTGAAGAATGTATGTTTACCTTCTTACTGGATGTTAAACTGTGTTATTTTATATCTAAACAACGAAAACACTGAAGGTTGAAGGAAGTTCTCAGAACCTCCTGGGAACTATCAAGTACACAGTTTTATGTGCATACAATGAAGTTTAGCAGTTATATATTTTTCATTCCTAGAAGAAATTAAATGAAAGCACACACATACTGGTATTTGATTATCTAACTACATCTTGTTACAATACGGCCAGGACCTGCAGCTGTAGATGGTAAGATGCGTAGAGAATGATGTTTTGATCATTTCTCATGTGAAGAAAAAGAGCAAGATATAATAAATGAATTAAAATTAGATATGAATGTGCTACTTGGTTGTTGTGGGTGTATCTGCACAAGAGTGAGCAGCCAGATGGGATCCTGACCTTCTCCTTGACGTTATCTTCCGCATCCTCATCCTCCAGGCCCCTGAGCGAGTTCTCCACACGCACCAGCCGGCTGCACAGTGACAGCAGCAGGTTGACGATCTTGTCCAAGTCGCCGACAAACATGTGGTACTTGTCCTGCTCACTGGGCTTACAGCACTCCTGTATCAGGGCTTCTAGGTGACCCTCCAGTGCACTGAATTTCCTCTGCTCCTCCGCCAGGCCTGCCTTCTCCTCCCGCAGAGCTGCTATGTTGACAGTAAGGGCCTCCACCAGCTCCGTCTATCAGACAGAAGCACACACACTACTCATTAGTTTAGTTACGATGAAATAATTCCAAAACAATCGTGGCTCCTATCCTACAAATTATAATCAACGTAAATGACTAGATCAAATATCATCTGAGATTACTATAGTCACAGGAAGAAGTACAAGACTTTTGTCAAGTGCTTTAAGGGGAGGTGTCAGATATGGCATTTTGAACTACGGTAGCCATGAAGGTACTTTTAAAGAATTGTTATGTTTCAGGTCAGTGTTTCTCAACCCAGTTCTCAGGGACTCACAGATGGTCCACGTTTTTGCTCCCTACCTGAAGCAAAAATGTTTACTGTCTGGCAGGGAGCTCGGAGGAAGCAAAAATGCGGACCGCTTGGGGTACCTGAGGACTGGATTGAAAAACACTGTTTTAGATTAAACTAGCATACATAAGATGTTTAAACCTTTTTTTGCTTTAGATTTTCTTCTTCCTTATCCAGATCTGTCTCCATCCCTCTGGGTTTATTCTGTAGATCCTTGTCAGGCTCTTGCTTTCTGTTTAGGGTCAAACACAAAATTTTTTCTCTGTGATGAGACGAAAACACAAGGCAAGTCCTGACTGGCAGAAGTGACTTGTTTTCTTTTGTGTTCAGTTTCATACTTGGATTAACAAACCAGTTGGTGTAGGTTTGCTACAGCTATAACACAAATAAGAACTTCAAAGCATTACTTCTTAATACCTTAAATAATGGTAAGAATAACATATGTTTAAATCAAACGGATAGCAAAGAAGCTAACTGCTCTGCTGATAGTTCCCTAGGGCTATAACAATAAAAATAAAAATATACTGGACAATGAATCACATGAAGGAGAGAGTGAGTTTGGATTTATATTAGATTTCAGGCAAGTCATTACTGTGAAATTAATAAGGGAAGTGACCACGTGTCTTACTTTTGCATAGGCCCTTTACAAGATGTCTTGTAATAATGAAACACACCACCAGGTGGTAGTGTTGCATTATCTGTAACTTTAACTGGATTCACAAATATCACAAAAAATAATATAGACATACTCTGGTGTGAAAACTAAGCCACATAAAAAATATACATAAGTATCCTGGTTTCGTAACTGACAAAATTGACCAATGGTGTTTAACTGTAATGTTAACCTATATCATTTTGCATATTAATTTATATGGCATTCCTTTTATTAACTTGTACTTTAAAAACCGTATTTATGATACAGATTCCACGCTCTGGCAGATATTCACATGCTCACCTATCCTCCATCTGTGCACTTGTCTTCTCTGGCCGTAATGGTGGGGTTAGTGTGGGGAAGATATCCTCCATCAAGTCCATAGTATTTTTCACTGCCCATGTGCCCAGGACGGGAGTCAGGGATTTGTCTTTAGACAGTAACATCTGTGCCAGGGCCTCCACCCGCACCTCCTCGGCCGAGCGCTCCCTCCTGCACAGCACTGGGTTCTCCTGCAGCGCCTCCTGCTCATCGATGCTGTTCTGCCTCTCCGCAGCGACACGGGTCTCCCCGTCCACGCTTGGACTTCGTAAGATGGCCTTGGATGGGGAATCTGTGTTCTCAGCTTGGGCAGGGAGGAAGGGATGGTATTCAGCCAGGTCCCTGTCAACCGATCTTCTGTTGATGGTGTTAATACTGAAACAAATAAATAAGAGACACACTGCATTGTCAAATATGCACAAAAAAATCGCAGAACTTTACCTATAGGCGACTGGGTTTAATATTGTGAGCAGTGTTCAAGCGGACGTTGTGGCATACCCTAACCCATCCCCTGCAGGTGGATACGCAGGGATTGGTGGAGGAACGCCCTCTTTGATGTCCGTGTCCTGAATGGAGGGTGTACGGCGAGAAGGCCAGATGTGTTCCTCGAGAAACACATCATCATCGACGACGACATCCTTGAAGGACAAGGAGGGTGGGGACGCTTGGAGGTTCGACTCAGAAATGCACAGGGAGAGGAGGGGCTGTGGCTGTGTTGCGGGGGGGCTCTCTAACTCAGACGAGGTGCTGCAGGATACACCAGCAAGGAGGTTCTGCAGTGCGGCGGCACCCATTGCACTGGGTGTATTTGGCACGGCAGGAATCTTTGAGCTGGGCTCCTCCTCTGATGCTTCCTGAGGAACGCTGGTGTCTGAGGAGCTTGTCAAAGCTGCCAAAGCAGCCTGGCTCTCAGCACTGGGCTTACCATCCTGCCCTAGGAAGGGGAATGTATTGCGTGCAAAGGTATCCAGAGTAGCCTGGCATGGGCTCTTATCAGTTTGCCAGTTCAGCTTAGCAGTGCGGGGTGGGGGAGCGAAGGAGCAGGGCAGGCCAACGGAGGCTGCCAGGCCGGCGGCACTCAGCACCCTGTGCCGCTCCGTGGGCTTCGGCTTCTCGCCGTGTACGGCCAGGGCGCTGGGTGGGGACAGACCCACTCTGAGCAAGGACCTCTTATCTCCGTCCAGGGGGACCGCAGTCTGCTTCTGGTCTACATCCTTCACGGGTCTAAAATAAAATAAAACACATCCTGCTGACTGTGAAGTATATTCCGCTGTGTTATTCCTCATTAACTGATAATGTGAGGCAGTTCCTCAACCAGGCGGGCAGTGGCAGTGCCATTTTCACTGGCTCACGGAGTGCGTGGTCAAAAAAAATGATTTTGAATTTTTTTTTCTAATATGAAACTAATTTTGGTTTTTTAACAATGCATGAAGACATTGTGCTCCTGGTAATGCACCATGTCCTGTTCATTATTACTGCACTATATTCTTGTGAGATAAATTTGGGTTGTCAGTTAATGACCAAGGGAAAATGTAGGTCCTGAGTCAAAACCAGCTGAGAACCACTGGAATCAGGGATTTTATCTGACAGTGAAAAACATTTCGAATAAAAATTTCCTTAATATCAATTATACATACATGATAAATATTCCTCCTACAAGAATGCTTGACTTGCTTGTTAGTTTTAGAATCTCACTGTCTTAAATTTGTATTTCAAAGGTTAAAACATTTACTAGTTTGCATTGCACTGCACTTATGGACATAAACATACAGACATCAAGAGACAAACCTGCTATCACTTGGATTAAGAAACAAAGGATGCCTTGAGGTGACCCCAAACGCTGCGTGATCCGCTCCAGTTAAATCCTGAAAGATATAAGACAACCACTAGCTAAGAGACACATCACACGGCATTTGATTTTGTGGGATGACTTTGGAGATCAGCTTTTGTCTGCCATTTTCAAGTCTCCTTCAAATCCGATAACACTAAACAAAAAAAGGTAATACGGTAGTATGTTTTTAAGGAAGAATGCAAAATGCAACGTCAAGGCCTGAGTTTAATCAGTTATTCATTAAGGGCAAAAACAATGCAAACCAGTGCAGCATGTAAATTAACTGGTAAAGTTCACAGTCCTTAACGACCAAGCAAAAGTTTTAATGATTAACTGGGCATAATGCAATGAGGTTTGTCTTGCTTGGGAGTTGATCGGGTATTAAAATAATTTTGAAATAAGATAAATGGAATGTACTAACAAAGAGTACGTACACGAATGAAACATTTGCTTTGGAACATGGACACTTTCATCTGAAGTGGAAGCTTGGGAGTCAGCCTGCATATCTACGGGGCTACATTTTTGCAGTTTATCAAAGCAAAGCCCTGAGAGTGTTTGCTCCGTAAGCGCAGATTTATTTGGCTATTATTATGTTGCAAATATTCTGAGAATTTTTCCAGTGATACACTACTTAGTATTAGAGTCATAGATAGTAGTATGCATCATGGGGCATCAGAAAATAAAATAAAATAAAAAAAAAACGTCCATAATGTACAGAAATTAAAGTATTATATTGAACTTAAGAGTGTCATTGAAGTAAATACTAAGTTTTTGCCAAATTATTCTCTGGGATAGCGACGTGAACACCATCACGATGACGCTTTGAGAAACTGTTTATGAGGGAAAGTTAATTTGCTCTCCCTGATAAATCGCTTTTTCATCCTTCCCAAGCATTTCCTGCCCAGACTGCCATCAGCCTCTTAAAGACATTATCTCCTTATTACACCATCCTGAAATCAACAGAACCGTTATCAGTCTGTTCTCTCTCAACACTCGACTTCCAGGCCGGGCTCCGTGGCACCACACAGGAAGTATGAGGCTTTGGCTATTTCCTGTAGGACATACAGGGCAGACAACGGGCTCTGTCCTTTTATCACGTAAGATGTTAGAACCCATTTCAGAAACACTATACACAGTAACCTTAATCATTTTAGGTTTTAGAGGGTTTTTCCTAAACACACACTGGAATTGGGCTACTACATGAAAATTAATTTACATCGGGAAAATAATACAAAAATGTATGACTTTAACTTAAGTTACACTTAAAATCATAAGGATGAGTGTTAAGAAGTATTGTTGCCGGAATGTGCAGTGGTATCCTCAAACCAGCTTTAAAGGTGTTGACATCAGATGCCCAAGAGCTGATTATTAGTGACCAATAAATCTATCTGTCCAGCAATCCTGAACTGAATAAGCATTTAGGATGTGGATGGATATATCTGCTTGCTGGGGGCTGTGATGATGACAGGAAGAAACAACCATTTCAAGTCAGCAGAAGTGGCACCACCCAAGCAGGGTGAGCTGCAGCTGCGGAATTTACTGTATGAACCTCCTAATGAGTCACGAACCATGTTTTCCTTTGCTGATTATCTCTCTCTCATTTCCACTGAAGCTCCCATTTACAATCGGAATTTGTTTTTTAGCTGCTTTACCTGTTTATTTAATGGTGCCACTTAAATACATAAATAACTTATTAAAAAGTTAAAAGTTGTGATTTTCAAGTTGAGGTACATAAAGCAGCTGTGAAGGAGAGAAGGGGAGAAGCACAGACATACTGCATTGTCGATATTATCATCTGCTTTATACAGCATGAAATATATTCAATGGGGACTCTGTTCAAAGCACAAAATACTGAAGAGGTCTTTCGTTCTTAGTTGTTTATGTGAACATGCATTTATGGTTGGGGATCCCAAGCCCTGGTCCCTGGTTTAACAAAGGTTGAAAAGGTTAGAAGAGGTGATTGTTCAGATGGTGATTTCTAAAAGGAAAAAGGTGACTCTGTAACATACCTTATAATGCTTCTCCATAGAGGGCGAAGACCGAGACCTGTAGTGTTGAGGAACCGCCCTCTCTTCCTCAGGGCAACGTAACAAGTCCTCCGCTGAGGCAGACTTCCCAGAATTCCTTGGGGGTGCAACCCTCTCAAAGGTTTCTTCCTGGTTCTGCAAATGTAACTGATTCTGGACAGGCACAGAAGAAGCAACGCGACCAGGCTTATGTAGCTCCCTCTCGTCACTAAAAGGTTGTTTTAGAGGATCTTTGTCCTTGTGGAAGGACGTTGGATTATTACTGCAGGATTCCAGATATGCCATTTCAGACGAGTCTACATTTGGGTGCACGGTGCGCTTTAGATTGGAGGGAATGGCGTACATCATATGGTTCGTCCCTTTCTGACTGTCAGAAATTGTAGTAAAATGGAAACCTTGCTCCTGACTGAACAGAAAACCAGATGCACATACACTCGTGGAATCAGGGCAGGGGGCCTGCATGTACGCACTGGTGGGGCGATTTTGCAAAGATGACCGTCGACCGGTCTTGCGTTCCATGTACTCAGCCAAGGCATCCTGTTGTATCTGTTTAAGCTCAGAATGGGCTATACTGAGGCTGGGGCCTGTGCTTTTCGTAGCTGCCATTTCAAAAAGTTTGCACCTGTCTGCTACACTGGTCTCAGGTATGAAAAATTGCTGAGCAGTCCTTTTCTGCGAGTCCTCGCCTCGTGACAATCCTACTTCATGCATGTTCTCTGGCTCGGAGTAAGAGCGCTTCTTTTGCTCTGCAGTGAGGCGTTTGCGGCCACCAATTCGAGTAATGGGGAACCCAACGGCCGGCCGACTCGGAAGAGGGGGTGGAGCGCTTTTCTGTACCTCAGGTGTAACAACATGCCTTTCTTTTGGCGTGTGCAGAGAAGCTACGCAAGGCTTCGGACTTGTCTTTGGAACCTTCCTCTCTAGGGATAAGTGCTTATTGGGAACAGGCTTGGCACTAAGATCTCGTCGTCTGAAAGAAGTTGATCTTAGAACCTTTGACTGTGCATCTTTGATGCTATCTCGATAGGTCCTGTTGTAGGACACGTCCTGAATAGTACCTAGGATTTCCTCAAGGTCTTCTTTCCAGTGGAATTCCTTTTCATTATTTCCACCCAACTGAAAAGTGCTCTTGCTTCGTTGGATCACCATGGGTTTGTTGTGTGGATTTCTAGTTGGGGGCTCTTGATTTCCACACATCCGATGTCGTGTTGGGTATTGTTGGGGTTCTTTATTGTCCTCCAGCTGCACAATGTCTTTCCTTTCCACACTCCAGCTCTGTGTTCTGCTGTGGCTGGAGCTTCCCCTTGGCTCTGCCCTCTTGTTAGGAAGGACGTCACTGTGGCTATATAACCTCTTTTGCTCCCGCTCAAACCGGCTCACCTTCTCCAGGACTGAGAGGTGCACGGCGTCGCTCTCGTCCTTCTCACTCCGAGTGCTACACTGGCCCACAAAGGCTTCTGAACCTGCTGAATTCTGGACCTGGATCAGGGCATTCTCCAACTTGGTCAGTGGATGGTCCTGCTGCTTTTGCTTCTGCAATGAAGAATCGCTGCTCTGTCTAGGTAAAACTCGCCTCATACTGTTGTTTTTCTGGCTGTGAGCAGTGTCACCTCTGCTGCTATGGGAGGCTGGAACACTAATATCTCTGGGTCTTCCATACATTTCCTGAGTGCAATTAAATTCATCTTGGGCCACAGTAGATAATGGTTTGTTTTGAAGGTGAGTGATCTCTAGTGGATGGTTCCAGGTATTTGCCTGGATTTCCTCTTTCTCCCTTGTCTGTGCGCATACCTCAGAGCCCTGTGAGGGTCTCTGCTTCTCTTCCCTTGGTTTAACTCTAGTGTATGGATCTCTCCTCTCCTGATTCAGGTTCTGTGATACGTGCCTGTAACCATCCTCTTGGTTTTGGGATATGCCATACCCATCTACACCGGTCTTAAAATGAGGTCTATAGTGACTGCATTTGGTGTCAGAATCGTCAGGCCTTCTTCTGTCATGGTGCATGGGTGGTTTGGGTTTAGTAGCAGCATTGGTGGGTTGGCTGGCAGTGGAAGAGGCTTGACTTTGGCATTCTTTCTCCGTTTTTGACTGATCTGTATTGAGTTCCCTCTCCTGGTCTCTGTAGGAGGAACACACGCTCTCCTTAGCTAATGCAGGGCACATACCGCCTGAGTTCGGGCAGCAGCTGGGCACCTGGGCATAATGTGGCTCCGGTTGCGGCACAGGATAGATGCCCGTAGGCAGCATTGGGTGCCCGGTCTGTGAAGTCTGAGGGAAGTTCTGCCTGGGCTTCGTTGTGGGACTGCTCTCGGGGCTCTTTTCTACTACTGTGTGTAGCTGCCCGTCTGTCGCGAATGTCTTCACCAAGGGGAACGAGGCACTGTTCTGATGCCAGAAGCCCTTCTGTGAAGCCCTTAAAGATCGAGTCTGCTCTAGGCTAGACCACGAGTTCGGCCGTTCGTGGTTTTTGATGGCAGCATAGCTATCACTGCGAAGTGGAGGTGGTGGTCCCCCTTTCAGGCTCTCACAGGAGTTCCGGCCATGTGTCTGACCCCATAACGCATGGTTTGCCGACGCACCCGTCATTCCTCCCCGGACGTCAGCGTGCGTCCTGCCCTCATTGTTGCGTAGCACCTTAGCAGAACTGACCTGATGCTCCTCTGAAATACCCTGCTGGGGATCGTAGACCGTGCGGACGTAGCGCATGTCTGCCTGTCGCACACCTTCAGGCCCACGCTGTGATAGCATACTATCCATAGAATAGGAGCGCTCCTTGCTGAAGGAGGGACCAGACGGAGGGTACTCAGGAATGCTGGAGCTGTTGGAGAAGGAACTGTAGGCAGAGTCCCTCTTGTTGTGCAGGTGGTCAATGCTGTTGGAGGACTTGGAGGAGGACAGTTGATGACAGGAGCTATAAGCTGGGTGGCCATGATCCAAACTCTCCATACTGCCTCGTGAGCTGTACTGGTCTGGACTTTTCCTGAGGAAGCCAGCATCATAGCTTGAGAGGTCGGTGGTGGAGAGGCTGAATGGAAAAGAAAATGAAAGAATATCCATTAGAAGACAGCATATCTGTAACTGATACTTAAGGCAGCAAAGGACCTATCGTAGGTAGTAACTCCCTGGATTCCACTGTCTGCTGCAACACAGGAACTTCATGGACTCCATTGTCAAATCTACTACACCAGAAGGTCTTTCACTGTATCCATATTATCTCATGTACAAAGGAAAACATTTAAGTATAACTTTATGAGAAAATTATGCGGCATATATACCAAGTTTGCATTTTTGTCACACACTGGATATGGGTTGTCAAAATAACATGTTAATTTCAATTAATTATACAAAAATAATGCATTAAAAAAATGTACCCAGATTAATCGTGCTCTATCGTGACCCTTGACAATTTGAATACAATCATTCACGGTAAAACTGTAAATATGGACACCGATGCAAAACCATTCTGTGCAATTTCAGCAGTAAGGCATTTTTGTACCATCAGAGTAGCATACACCTACGTGCAAAGCACTTAGCCGTGAACTCGAAGGTCGGTCTTGATGCTACCATGAGCAATCAGTATGTAATAAAAGAGATGTTTTATATAAGTTTATAATGTCTATCATAGCTTCACTTATCTACCAAAATCCATTTGAATTGAAATATCTAAAAATGCTTCTCACGTCAAATATTGATATATGCGATTAATTTAGAGTAATCACATGTAATCAATTACATTAAAATTTTTAATCGCTTGACAGCCCGAAATAAAACACATTATCAACACCTGTTCCCAAACCAAGAAAGCCATAACTAATCATGTTAAATATTATTAAACATGAGTTTGTTCAACTAAAGCTTAAATTAAATTAGTTTCTTATCTTCACTCTTTTCTCTTATAGCATTATTGTGTTCCCATTATTTCCCAAAATGGCAAATCATCAAAATAATGGTCACATGCTGAACATCACATATGCCACAAAAGGAACAACAGTTCACAGCATATGACTCTTTCTATATTCTTTGACATCCAAAGTACACAGAACTTTCATTATGGTATTTGCTATTGGGAGAGTAGGCTTCCGACACTAATCAGCCGGATCATAGTGTTAACATACTTTCTCCAATTATTCCGCTATTATTTTAAGCTAAACAGGTATCATTAAAAATCTTAACAAAACAATATGGCTGCCTCTCTATTAATCTCATATGCCATTGAGCACATAAACATTAAAACAAAAAAAAATCTAGAGAAAATTATTTGGTATTGATTAAATATTCTTCTTTATTCTCTGCAACGCAGAACAGTATAAATGATTAGAAAAAAATATACAGTAATGTGTTTCCTATACTGGAGACACACTGGGCTTTATAATTTTTCCTGTATTGACATATTAAATGTCAATTTAAATATTGAAATTTATTAATTGGAAATGTGCTGAGAAGAGCAGGTTTTCTAACAATGGACATTTTCCACTTCAGCAGAGATGGACATTTCAGGTCCAGAAATCAAAAATGAAAAAAATCCAGACCAAGACTTTGTTTCAACTAATTCAACAGTTGAGTATTCAGTACACAACTGGTTGGTTGAAACAAATTCTTGGTCTGGTTTTTTATTTCCCGGCAACTGTGCTTCCACTGAGACCCTCCTGGGAGTGAGCAAAGACATGGACCTTCTGGTGGTCCCCAAGGACCGGGCTGGGAAGCACTGCTGAAGAAGAAATTCTTCTAAATAAAAAAGGCTCTCATATCGCTGACAGAGGGCTCTGTTCCACTAACCTGGAGTGGTAGCTATGGTGCCAAGGTGCAGCCACGCTGCTCTGTGATATCTGCATCATGCTGGGGTCCTGCTGACCCTCCCCAAGTTTGGTCGAATGCCAGGAATGGGGTCTAGAAGTCGACCCACTCTGTCTGTGGACACAAGGAGATGGTGTCTGCAAGAGACGGTTCTGCTGAAGAGCCCGGTGCCAGCTCTGAAATGCTAACAGTCACAGCCACTTAACATCCAACAGAGACATGGGGACACTATACTGTATTTATGTAACTATATGACATGATTGCACACTGTTAAACAAAGTCACAAAACAATAGGGTGATCAGATAATCCATGTCAGGGAGGACACTTTGTGCTACTTCAGGTTTTGCAAACTATTTAAAAACCAAAAGGCTCCTGTGCACGGCTAAATAATTCAGCTCTTCTTGCGCTTTGACTGGCTTGTTTCCTCGAATGAAAAACGTATCCAGCTGTTTCACATTAACATTAGCGCACATGATTATAGGGGACTGACCAATCAGCACACAGCAAGAACTCGGTGCTTAAGTGAAATTCAGGTCCTTTTCATTGAAATGGTAATTCACAAATGCCGTCCTAGCTCAGTCTCCTCCCTGACATGGATTATCTGGTCAGAAATATAATCTGAATATTAAAAAGCTAACAATAAATAGATATTTCATTACATAACAAATAATCATTTAAGAATACATATCTGTCTTGTCTCCAGTATGATTCCCAACGCTACGTGCAACTCTACATGCTTTGGTAAACTGTGATTCCCTTGAGTATTTCAGTTTCCTCCTAGAGTCTAAAAAACAGAACTGCCCTTACTGTGTGGATGTGTGTGTGTGTTGGCGTGAGAGTGAGCGTCTTGTGATGCATAGGTGTGCCATCCAGGGCGTGCCCTGTCCTTGGATGGACTCAAACAACAGTATTCTTTAAAGTATTATTAATATTTACATACTCAAAAAAGATACATTTAAAATGGAGACTAACAGAATGCCCTAATGTCTTCAGCATAATTCAAGCAATACTTATATAAATGCTACATTGCACAAGACATTTTGCACAATGTTGATCATGCCAAGCAATTTCTATCAATATGAAAACAGAAGTGCTTTACCCTCACAAACTTTGCTGCTTACTCCAATGTAGGCAGCAAAAAACTATGTTGAATCTTGGTTGACTTTTTACAATGAGGACTTAAACATTTTAAAGTTTTGCATGAAATGGTCCTTTATAATGGACGCCGATGCAAAACCATTCTGTGCAATTTCAGCAGTAAGGCATAAAAACATAACCGATGCTTTATTTGCAGAGGTGGATAGTTCAGGTCCAGAAAATAAAAAATCGAGACCAAGATTTTGTTTCAACTAGCCAGTCGAGCACGAAGAGTCCCAGCCCCAGAGTCCTTGACTGGTTTGTCGAAACAACCAATCTTGGTCTGAATCTTGGGCACCCATTTCTAAACAGGAAATGTTGTGCATTCAATTCAAAATTCTAGTCAGTCTCCTACTCCTGTAGGAAATACTTTGGCTGTTTCAAAGTATGAATTAATATACTAGGAAACGCGTTGTTTCTATCTTGTATACAGTATATCTTGTTCAATTACCAACCATTTAGCATACTGGTCAAAGGATTTTATAAAACAGTCCAGGAAAAATCAACAGGAGAGATCAGAGAATGGATCAGAATAAAGGAATTTCATGGAAAATTTGTTTGAGTAGCTGTGTAAAACTAGTTTTGGCATGCAAGAAGCAGTATGACCACCAAGAAATTATTCTCCCACTCCACCCCACCCTTGAAGTTAAATGATGAAGCAAAGTCAACACGGCTTCCCTGTAACGATGTAATCACTGCACATTACTATGAAAGAATACATGGAGTGTTTTATAAAAGCATGTATGTGAGCAATGACTGGATTTCACAATCATATTAAGCTACATAATCAGCTAAAACAAACTGCAAGGCAAGATAAAATGAGGAAAAGATATTTTAAATAATACCTTAACTTACAAGCTATACTCAAAAACAGAATAGGATCTGAACATTCACTGGAAATTAATAAAATAAATTAAATAAGTGAAAAGCATGTGATGCAATAGAATGATGACCAAGTTGGTGCGGCATGCTTGTTATGAGAATAAACTTCTATGCTTTCACTGGAAAATTCTCCAAAGGTACAGCCCAGGTGAAGAAATCTCTCTAGTTCCAGATGTTTCTTTTTTGCCAGAACTCCTGCTAATAACAGTTAATCTCCTGCCAGGGAAAATCCACTTTTTCAGCAGAAAACTGCCTAGGATAAAAGTACCAAAACAAGACTTAAACCTGTTAGCTTTGGATGTTACAGTGGCAAGACCAATACCACAACTGTCAGATTCGTTTGTCTTTTTTCTGTCACCTTAAAAGTATCCTTCTATCTTACATCTTCTATGTAAAATACTTCCCAATTATTTATTTACTAAAATACCTATTAAATACCCCATAACACGGAAGTAGGAAAATACAGAAACTTTTCATTTTTTCACCATTATTTAAGAATGTGTCAGACCCTTGACTAAAATAGTAACCTGATAATAAATTATTATTTTAAAAAGATAAAAAGGGAATCGACGGCCAAGCATAATTAAGAGAGTTTTATCTAATGCTTAAAAAAAATCACTCAATTTATGAAATACAAAATCTACAAACGTTACTCTAAATGAAGCAGCAGAGATGACACACAAATAACACAATGTGGAAGGGCCGTGGAGAATGCTGAGAGCACGCAAACGGCTGCCCGGCAGGAATCCACACGGGCGGCGACCCCGAGCACCAGTTACCTTGCCGTCATCCGCAGGACCTTTGAGATCAGCCCGGTGGCCAGGCTGTTGACGCTGCTCTCGGAGGGAGACTTGCATAGTGCCCCCTCTGACAGATCCAAACTCTTTTGTTTCCTTCGGAATTTTCTCCGATAAAAGGCTCCTAGAAGCTCCATAGTGTCTCGCTGGACCCGCTACACTGAAGTGGCAGCCAGCGAGAGGCTGGCGGGCAGGACTATGCGACCAGCGCTCATTAAGACAGGCAATTAGCAGTCATTACCTCAAATACGATAAAAACATAAAGTAAACATCCTGCCCCAAGCTGAACAGATGCTCACAGGGAACAAACAGAACACAATCCAAAAACGAGAAATCAAATGAAAATCCCAATATCAAAAATGAATGTTTATAGCCTGAAAATGGCCCTAAGGGAGGCCAGACTCATGATAGCACGTGGTGGAGGAACAATAGTGGCACTGTGCATCTTTTTGCCTTATTCAATTCCTGTCAATCAACATGTGACTCAAATAAACCTGAGACAGTGAGCAACTAAATCCTACATTTGAAACATGTCTGCTTTCCTTAAATCTCCTATTTCAATGATAAGGGGATATTACAAGCAGAAAGAGGCATCTGTGCCATCCCAAATGTGCTGTGCCAAAGCTATTTGAAAGCCATTTTATTGGTTCTATATTGTAAACGAAATAGGCAAAGCATAGATAGTGAAGTAGAGGATCCAGCCACAGCTCTGAAATCAAATTCAGCCTGATCAAACCGAAAGACTTCCACACATTCACATTCTGGGAGTCCCAGATGAAAGTCTTTTCAATTTTCCCATGATACTCAACATCACAACAGCACTGAGAACAAGAGAGTCATCAGAGATCCCGATTCTACGCCGACTCCGGCAGTAACTAACTGAAGGTCTATTCTTTGCCAAGTCAATGAGGCAAGATGATCAGGGCGTGTTTCAGAAAGGAAAAATTATCTGTGCTATGAACAAAGTCAGTGACAATCTTTTGATCTGCAAGGAAGCTGAAATTAGACAACAGATTATAGAGGAAGAGGTTAGCATTACATTCTGGCCTGCCTGACTCAAAGTTTTCCAAGTTAGAAAAATGACAAATGCTTCAGGAGTTTCAGGAATTTTTTCAGTGTGTGCAATTTGCACGATTATAAAGAAAAATGTACTAAGATTATGGTACAGCTGGTAAAATTATAACATTCACCCTCAAATCAAAAGAACAAGAAGTCTGGTATTTTCTTCAATGAAATATATAAAAAAAAATATCTATCATATTAAAGCCAAAAATCTTGTTTGTATATATCATCTAAATTGTCATTTCCATTCAAGAGCAAAAAAGATTAAGGTTAAACAGCTGCCAAACACAAATTCTAACAGAATGGTGACAGTTACAACATTGTGTTTTTACACTTAAAACAGGTTTACTCTGTTCTATGCTCTGTAGCCTGCTGAGGGCAGCATAGAGGGATATGAATGACAGACAGATGCACTTTTAGCATGTAAACAAAAAAGTAGTGAACTTTCCAATCCCATTCCAGTTTAGGGCGGGTGTAAGGCTCTATGACCTCAACCCATCTGTTCCCTTGTGAAAAATCTCTAAATGTAAACTACAGTTTTCTTATTCCAGACAAATATGCCATCTGCCAGACAGGTCATTAGAAAACTATGTAGGTTACAAATGCATCACCCCAGTGCAAAGTTAATAATAAATATCAACACCATCTACATAAATCTGCTTCTATACTGGCAACAGACACATCACTGTATCTATAAAACTTTGTATTCCAAAGGTTTTAGCTCAGTCAATAATACTATCAGTGTACAAATCCTTAATTCGAAGTGATAACTGCTTTATTCACATAAACACATAAGCAGAAAAGCAGGCACATTTGCTCAATACATAAAGCACACAGAAAGGGTCAAGAGGTCCGGTTACTGTTTGGCAAAGTTTAAGAATGGGAAATATGCATCTAAGCAATTCCCAAACTGGTACAACCGCCGATGCCAAACATGCTGCTTCCAGCATTTCAGAAACAGATATTTTTGTGTACAAGTTCACAGAGTTCACAGAAAATGTTGCAATAATAAAAAAAAAAACACCCTGTCAATGAGAGAGGTGTTAATGAATCTTGTTAATGAATCAATCAAACTCCTTAAGAAACCTAAAGAGCACGTTGTTGGATCTTCGCCTTAAGGAGTTCAGGCTGTTGTGTAGGTGACTGGGGTCCCTGCCTAGTGCCTATTCTCCTTCCTGAAGTTGTGTTATATTGCTGCTTCCTTGAAGCCGACTTAATGGTAAATAGGTCAATTTGCCAATATTAGCAGTGACTAAAATGCAAATCCAGTTATTGTTTATCCAGACTCTATGATCACCAAGACTTCCTCCATCATAAGGCCTACAAAATGACTATCCCGCATAGTAACTCGCTGATACAGGAAATGTATCCATTAACAGTAGCTTGCCCTCAAATTGTCTATGAGCTGTTGAGCTGTAAAGGGCCAATAATACGTCTAATTTAGATGGGCAGACAGACAGGCAGGCAGACATTCAGGCAGGCAGACAGAGACAGACAGACAGGCAGGCAGACAGGCAGGCAGAGAGAAGGGCTGACAGAAAGACAGACCAGCAGACAGACAAACAGGCAGACAGACAGACAGGCAGGTAGGCAGACATGCAGGAAGGCAGACAGACAGACAGACTGGCAGGCAGACATTCAGGCAGCCAGGCAGAGAGACAGGCACATAGAGATAGGCAGACAGGCAGGCAGAGAGACAGACAAACAAACCAGTGGACAGAGAGAAAGACAGACAGGCAAGCAGACAGAGAGACAACCAGGCAGGCAGAGAGACAGACAAACAAACCAGTGGACAGAGAGAAAGACAGACAGGCAGGCAGGCAGAGAGACAGACAGGCAGGCAGACATTCAGGCAGGCAGGCAGAGAGACAGGCACATAGAGATAGGCTTACAGGCCGGCAGAGAGACAGACAGACCAGCAGACAGAAAGAAAGAAAGAAAGACAGGTAGGCAGGCAGGCAGAGACAGATAGACAGTCAGACAGACAAACAGGTAGGCAGGTAGACAGAGAGACAGGTAGACAGAAACAGACAGGCAGGCATACAGATCGATATAATTGACTGACTTTTTTAAGTCCCCAAGAGAAATTAAGGATAATCACAGTATTTTACAAAATGTGGAAAACAGTGGTATTTTCTATTTTACGGATAGTAGAATGTCAGAGTTACCAGAATATCAGGCTGAATACACATTCAATTCTCTGCCTACTTAAGCAAATACTTAGAAAGGCATTATTCACCCACGCCCTCAGGACTTTGCCAGGCGTGATTAAGGCGCTCCTGATACAGACCTGTCCCTGATACGCAGTTTCACTCCGCCAGCACAGCCCTGGCTGCCCTGTGGGTGTCCTTGGCTCAAGGGGAGGCTGGCAGAGCGCTGCTTGGCCGCTTCACTGCAGTGGGGGTCCACACTGCATTTCCTGGGTATGACATAGAGAGGAGTGGCTCAGCACACCAGGATCACATGAAACCTCAGAGCCTCACTGACCGAGACAAACCTATTTGGTGGATCTTTTAGCGCAAGGATCACAAGGGATCTGGCTTTCGCGGCATCAGATTGTGACCTTGATCCAGAAATAGTGCATTTACTATTTATTTAATAGATGCTTTTATCCAAAGAAACTCACACTTGAGCCCCTGGAGCAACCGAGGGTCAATGGCCTTTACTGAAAGGCTCAATGGTGAAGCCAGGCGGCTGATCCTGGGATTCAAACAGGCAACCTTCTGATCAGAAGCACAGAGGGCTTACCTGCCACACACCACACTGATATCAGTCCCCAGAAACAACTAGTAAGCATATAAGATAAAATTAGAACCATTCAGGAGCATTTGCTGGCACTTAAGCAAACACTTAGAAAGGAAGAATTCACTCCCGCCTTCAGGACTGATTCTGTTTTATTATTTTTTTTCTGTGTATGCTTATTTTTTGTATTGCTTTCTTTTAAATGTCTGTAAAGCACTCTATAAACTCTGTGGTTAAACATGGCTGTATAAATAAAGACTGATTGATTGATATATATTTGGAGGTATTTGTAATTTTTTTGTAACTGATTACAAAATACTGGTAATTATGAAAAGGATTTTACGCTTCTGAACCATTGAATTGGGAACCATTTTTATGTTCAGTTTTTGTTTTGTACTCAAGGAATTAGAGGAAAAAAGAAATCAAAGCTAAAATTCAAACATAAAAACATTTTTTAAAAAAATTATGGTGGCCTTTTAAGCTCACAGTTGCCGTGCAGTTTATTGTCATTTTATCTTTAAAGTGCGCCCTAAAGAATAATCGTTGGCAAGCTGCTGTGCCCTGTGCTGTGCCCATCATGGGCATACTGATTGGGCATGTAAGATGGGCAGGGCCTGTGTTAGTTTTATAGTCAAAGGTGCACATGAATGGGCTCAGGAATGCACTGTACAAAAGTTATCAAAAGAGAGCGTGTGCACTGCGGGGCTCAGCTGTCACTGCATGACATGGCAGTCCTTGTGGTTACTGTCAGGTCTGTTGCCAGGAAATGTTACTTACACGACTGTCTGCTACGAAATCTGCCAAAAGCACATCTGTGGTACCGTATAGCAAAAGAAAGCGATACTAAGTCAAAAGTGGCTTGCTTTTGTAAAACGATGACAGCCGGAAAACTGAATATGGAATATGAGGTGTAAGCTGTGAATATGAACCAACGTAGTATCTCATAAGTATCTCATAATTTCAACAATTTTTTATTTTATGTGGCGGGAATGGGCTTCCGTATATATTATATTATTATATAAATATATATATATTTTAGATTAAAAAATAATCATCAAAATCCATTGTACACTCCACGGCTGCAAATCACGAATCACAAATACTATATGTTTGTGTTTAGCCACAAACTTATTGAAGTGTGAGTTAAGAATAAGTCAATGAAATCAGATATATTATATGCACACTACAATTATTACTAAGATTTTTGCTGACCATTATTTTGTATTGAAAAATTCAATAGAAGAACTAGTTTAATTCTGACCAACTGCAATCAAACACAATGATCAAAGCAAGATGTGATCAAGAATGTCAGTGTCAGTGATAATGAGGACAATGACATAAAACAACCACAAGGCCTATTGCTGGCCCCTCAGTGGCTACAAAAATACTGACAAATTGCAGAAGTATCTGAACAAAAGGGCGCCTCAGTTTTTATCCTTCCATCTTCCAGGGAAGCAGACACGTTTGGGAATATATCAGTCCGTCACAGGACACATACTGCACACTTACATGTTTGTATTCGTTTCTATGGGAAAAACCCTAATCCCAACAATGACAGCACTAACCCCAACCTAGGCCTAACCTCAACCATAAATAACCAAACAAAACGCCAGTCTTTTGGCATTTTTTGGATTGCAATCACACATTTTTATAAAGATTTTAGTTTCCTTTGTGGGGAAGAGAAAAATATGACAGGTTTTTATTACATAGTGGAGTCATTTAGTCCCCACAATTTAATGCATATCTGGATCTCTCTCTCTCTCTCTCTCTCACACACACACACACACACACACACACACATACACACCTACTGCTATCCACTGGGCCATCTTTCAGCCCATAAAATATCTATGCTCATATTTCTTTAACTTTCTAATGTTCTATGCATAGGTCTTATAAAGTACATATAAAGAAACGTGAATAAGTATGGTGGTCATAATGAATTATTTTACTTCCAAAAATTTACTAAATATCTCAAAGATGTTAGGTATAACGTAAATGAACACCGGCAACAAGTACCCCTAATTTTACAGCATCGTATGTAGCAGTCTTGGCCAAAATGTTTCCCCCTCTCTCTTCCACATTTGCATACCATTACAATGGTCCAACCACAGAGATACGTTTTTAGGACTCCTGTTACACCCAAAATGATTTTCCAGTTGTTTAATCCTTCATTCCTGCAAACTGAAAAATACAGTTTAATATTTTACTTTTCCAAATGTGAAACACTTAAAGTGACAATACATGGTTCCAATAATTATGACCTGCAGCTATGATCCTCACCACATTTCAAAATAAACTAGCTCCAAACAAAGTTTTGAGAGTCGGCATAAACCCGCTCATCTAAATCGCAAAAAAACTGCACCTGTGGAAAGATCATATTCCGGTGTCGACAGATACTCGATCTCCCACGAGCTTTCCTCTCCTTTCTCTAAAACAGCAAATGAGCTGGCTTCTCTCGCAGTAATGACTGCTTTGGGCGTGGCTTCTGCTGTGTGTACCCTCTGTGAAAAAACACAAATCATAAACAGACATACACCGTGTGACCAGATGGGGTCAGGAGGTCCACTTCCCGTTTGACTAAGCATTTAAGCGGCTATGATGCATGATCTAACTGATTATGAACATGCTTCAGTTGTTGGTGTCATACATGATGGCTGCATCATCTCAGAAACATCTCAGCCTCCTGAGATTTTCCATGCACTACAGTGGATATAGGCTACAGGGCATGGGGCGATGAACAAAAACCATCCAGTAAACAGCATTTCTGTGGCCAAATAATATCTTAATGATGGAGGTTAGAAGAGAATGGCCAGACTCGGTAAGGCTAACAGGAAGGTCACAAGTGCAAAAATAACAGCTTAGTACAGTAGCGGTACGTAGAACCTGCACAACTTGTTTAACCTTAAAGAGGAGCTGTAACCAAAGAGAGTCCAAGCCGGTGCTAGCTAGCTCTACCTAAAAATGTACCCCCTGAATGTACATGTCTCAGGGTCTCAACAGATGTCAAAGTGTGTTGGCTTTCTCTGCACAGAAGCGAATGTGTTAAATGCTTAGAGAGGCAGATTTCAATCTTTTTAGGAACCTTCACAACAAAAATGGAACGTTAGGAAATTAAATAAATGAACAAAGGTCTGGGAAAAAAAAGGAAATTCCTTTCCTTAGCCTAGATACTACTACTGCAAAAGCTGATAATGTATGATGTGTCTTTAGGTGAGATGAGGTATTAACTGAAATATAATGGACTATAGACTTTACACTTTCATTGAAATACTAGAAATAGCACAATAACACTCAGTTTGATACGCCAGCCTGATACACTACATTTTACATGCTTTCTATTAGTAGTGTTCATATTACATCTAGCCTATAAAAACAGGACTCGTCTACAGCAGGGCAAGGTATAGCTCTGAAGTTCTCCACTCAAGCATGCTCCGTGCATTCCTCGCATGCCAGAGTCTCCGGCTTCAGGGTAACCCAGGTGGTATCCAGGGCGATAGGCAACCATCTACACTCTTTGATGCACTAAACCCTGCACAAGTCTATTTAATTTGTACAGAAGTACAGAAGTGCAATTTGCAAAGAAATATTTTGTCACCGTCACATAATATATGCATGCTGTAAATATTATTCTGCTATCTGTGACTACAGAAAAGCTTATAACTTATTCATTGTTACACATTTACAAATTGTGTGTTCGCTTGTTATCTATTAATACTGACTACTGATATCACCAGGTGTCGTAAGTAGAGAATACTTTCCTGTGTAAACCAAATAAAACTGATACATATAAATTCTACAGGATAA